CGGATTTCAGGCCACTCGATGCTCCCGAACATGTTGGCAAGGTCGAGGTCAAAAGCAACCATGGGAGGAGTGCAGCCGCGAAGCGCCAACGTCTCGATGGTGTTGCGCCAGTGCACCAAAGCCTCCGCTCCGCCAGGCATTTCCACCCCCCACTGATGCATGGCACGGAAGGTGCCGCGGAGTCGCGGGGCTGCCGCTCGCAGGGTGCGCTTGGCTTGGGCAGAGCGCAGGAACTCGCCGATGCGGATGGGGCGGGGGAGGTCGCGGCCGGGTCGGTGCAGGTACACAAGCCTGGTGCGGGTGAGCCAGCGCGCCTCTTCCCCTAAGCTGCCTTGCTCGGCCCGACGCTGGACAGCCATCATGGCCCGAGCCAGGCGTCGACCGACAGGCTTCTGGCGGACATTGAGAGCCTCCTGAGCATGTTCGGGTCTGGTGCCTGTGGGCCGGCAGACCGTCATGGCTTTGTAGCGTACTCCTCGAAGTGGGTGGTGCTGCTCTGTGTTGGCGGGCTCAGTGTCGACCTGCATGGCCGCGGCGGGCGTGGCCCTCCAGGCTTCTCCTCGCTGTGAGGGGGGCAGGAGGCGGGTCGCATAGTGGCGCTGCTGCTCCGGTGTGGGAGTGGCCAGCTGGGTGGTGAGCACGCCCAAGCTTTTGCTGTAAGCTCCTTCGGCGGCGAAGCGCTTGGCCCTGTCCTCGGTACGGGGCTTGCGCGCAGGTCGGGCCGGGCCGCGGCGAAGCAAGGCTTGGGCTTCGGCGCGGGCGAGGAGACCTTCAAAGTCACTAGCTTCCCACAAGGCAAAGCGTTCGGCGAGCTCCTTGGGCCCGTATGCCCCTTTAGGGAACTGAGCGAGAAGAAGCTTGGTTCTCGCCTCTTCCAAGCGGCAGAACCCGGGCAGCCCGGCAGCCATGCCTTCCAGACACAGTGTCCACGCCTGGGCGTGCCGAAGGCGAAAGGAGACTGGTACGTGCCATTGACTGGTCGTGGGCAATGCCCGCACCCTCGCCGTCCAGTCCTGCGGAAGACTCACATCTGCTACTTCCGGTTGTGGAGGACTGGGTGCGGGAGTGGTTGGGGCTGGCGCAGGGCTCGGTGCGGCATGGGGTCCCCGGGGCCCCGGCACCACATCTCCAGCTTGCAGTGGGCGAAGGTTGGCGCCCCGACCGCACCGGATGCATGTCTTAACGCCAACTCGAACTCGATTCAGGGCCCCGCACTGCGCCTCGGTGCAGACGGCTCTGTCGAGGAGCCTGAGCGCCTCAACAGCGGACGGACCAAGCGCGGCACCGCTGTGCATGGCCGAGATGTGGCGCATCAGCCCCCCTGCCGTGTCGGAGCTGAAGGTGTGGCATATGGGGCAAGCGACGCGACCATTGACAAAGGCGGACGGCACCGGAGCAGCGGGGGGTGGTGGGGGCGGTGCCGCGTGGAGTGCCTGGCGCACGCAGCGTGCTGCAGCTGACGGCTCGCTGACGCGTGTGCGGCGCGAGCGCGCTGGCCTCGGCACCTGGTCGATTTGCATGGGTGCTGCAGGCGGCGCCTGGTCGGTTTGCATGGGTGCAGGGTGTTCGCCGCCCAAGGGCGTTCCGGGAGAGGGAGCCATAGTCTGGCCTAGCACGGTGGGCCCTGCCAGCTTCCCGAGTCAGCACAAGAACTCCTCGCGAGGGGGCCCAGCCAGCTTCCCTGCACTGCTCGGAACACCGCGTGCGTCTTCAGTGCGGGGGGG